ATTGTAATGTTGAATGTGCTGGGATTTCCCGTCATTTTGTTATCACCCTGCCAGATAGGCACCACGAAAGCAAATGAAGAATCTCCGACTACGGCGTTATTCGCAAAGGTCAAAGGTCAACTCCTAGCGACGCAACAGAATTCTACGCTATTAGTACGTTTCCTGACTTGCTTAACTCTGTTTCTGTACTGAAGTACACAGCCACAGTTAATTAAACGCTTAATCTTCAATTAAAAAAATAAATTTCTTGGTTTAAGCCCTTTTTCACAACAAGGCACAAACGGAATACGACTTTAATGTCCAATGTGTATTCAATTAAAAATGCTTCTATGTTTGTTCTTTGGCAATCCATTTATCGTTCAGCCCCAGAGTGCAAGAGAACAATGTTAAGCCAAAGAAATAAATAAACAATGTATATAAACATTTCCTACTCGTCAAAATGTTACGAATTCTGTTTACTGAATAAATATTGACTTCTGGTTTCCATCGTTATGCGAAATAAAGCTTCACAAACAAAGTTAAAAGGTATAAAAAGTAAGAGAACTGTACAAAACAACAGCTGAATTATTTTAGTCCTTCAATGTGGGCAGGCGTGTAAGGTTTCCTAAAAACATGGAATCCTATTTAAACGTGAAAACACGTTAAACCGCTAGAGGTATATTTCCGTACTGCTGAACTCTTTTTATTTGAGAAAACACCAGTTATTTATTAAACTTAGTTCACGGTATCGTCAGAAATACATGTTAACCGCAATTATAAATTTATATCATAAATATACAATGAATAGTCAACAGGGGAAAAGGAATCCAAGAGCAGGTTGAGTCGAAATGAGAAAGTTGTGACCCACAGAATGTGTGATTATTCTGCCCATTTTCACTATTCAGAAATTGATAAATATTTTAAATTTCAGAGTGCACAATTAAAACTCCTTCCTCTTGAATCTGAAAATGCCGTTGAAAAGGCTAGGCTACATGATTTACATTAACATAGGACAAATGTGCAAAACGTTATCTATCTGCAAAGAAGTTGCAATAACTAAGAGATGAGTGCAATTCTCTTTGATCCTTAGACAATTTAAGGACGTTATTTTATCAAACTAGATCATAACTTTGGTAATCTGTAAGCAGGGCTTAGGTCCATACAAAATTAGGTTCGATTTAAAGATGGCGGTCTTTTGCGATATTGCATCATGTAGTCTGGTATAATTTGACTGGTTTCTGCCTTCCGTTATAAGGGCTTGCCCTTATAAATAGATTATTTGGCAAAATGAAGGGCTAATGATTATTAGAGATGGTAAAATACAATGTCACCACTGGGGTTTAAGGCTTAATTATTAAACAGTTTTAAAATTATAGATAAAAATAATCAGAGACTGACAAAAGAGATTTGATGACGATTATTATTTTTAGTGCAGAGACTCATATTAGCTCAAAGAAAATTAATGTGCATGTTAACTGAATCGTCAGCGGAATACATTTAATATACATGACTATAAATTTTATACAAAACATATTCTGAACGGCGCTGGCACAGAACAAGACGAACCAGAGGTCTGCTGGACGTTTGGGCCATCGGTGGACACAGCCTTTAATTCTCACTTACTGTTTACATTATGACGATAACAGCAAATCATATATAATGCACTGAACAGATCATAATATCATTTACTAATGCTGAAGTATACCCAGGAGTATGAAACTAATTACGTTATTATCGGCCCAGAGCGTGGCAAATTCGGTTACGTAGTCTTCTGTGTTTTGAACAGATCACGTGATAATGGCAGAGGCATACAGACAGACGCTGGACAAACGTTTTTATAACACAGTTTTCTATGCATACCTGCAGGGGAAGTCAACGATCAAATTTCATAATAAATCTGAAGATGGGTGTCTTCTGGCATGCTCTGCCGTGTTTTGGAGGCACCTGGTGCCTCCATCATCAGGGTGATGTAATGACGAAGACAGCAAATACCTCTGAAAAGTCGGCAAACTTCTACCAGACTAAACGGCGCAACAACACAGAGGAGCTATCTTCATACTCATCGCCGTGAGAATCTGAGATCTCTCTCATAATGAATTTGATGCTTGTGTTGCTGATAATATTAAAATGAGCATGAAAAGTAAAACAAGATGGCGTTTTTCTTGTAATTTCTTCAGAAGCGCGCTACGCATATGAAGTTTAAGTTAAACACTGAATCACATGTAGTTACATAAAGAAATAAACACAAACTGTAAACAAATTTCTTTCCTTATTATTTATAACTTTAATTTTTTTATAGTCACGAGCTCTTGTATACCTCGTAATCAACCCTTTAGAGTTCAACGGTAGATCTATAGACCTTTACCACATACTTTATTTCATATAACGTTTATGACACTAGCGAAGCCAATTTATTGGTGTCATTATTTGTGATACATCTGGACATATTAAATTAATCAACAATTCGTTAGTAGCTAAACGTTCTTGCACTGACCCAAATAAACACGTTATATATATATATATATATATATATATATTTCGTAGTTTAATTTTATCAAAATAATTTATTACAATAATAACTTGGCTGCTAGCAACGAAAACGATGGTAGGAGAATTAATAAAATTGAAATAAAATAAATCCCTTGCTGATATTTCCAGACAAATAAAGCAAAACAGAGATAAAAACAAAGTGTTCAGAAATGACCTACTTCAATAAACAAATCAGAGGAGTCACAAATAAGACAAACAGATCAAAACAACGTTCCGAGCAAAAATATACCCTGCAGTATAAAGTATTCAATGGTAACACACATGTGCAGAAACAGAAAAGTATACAGGCCTATAAATCTGAGTTCTAAACACATTTACCCATCATGTCTCAGTTACAGCAAAGTGGCGGTAAATATGTTTTTTTTAAAACTACGCCAGAAGGCAACCTAGTGAATGTTTACGTAAAAAATCAACAAATCGCATATAAATGGCAGAGAAAAACAACAATTATTATAGCTGGACTTATGAAAACAATAACAAATTTATCTTCATAATTAGTTGGCGAAATTACTCGTTATTTAATTCTATTAAACACGTCAATAGTCCATGATTGTAACGGGTGTTCTCACGTAAAGACTTAGACTGGGTTTTTGTCTCCGTCAGAAACTTAAATACAGCGGTAATTATATGTAAAACTTGGTTTACGAATAAATAAATTATACTTTCTGGTTTTGTATGATATTGTATGATAATGACAATATCGTATGTGGACCGTTGGATATTACAAAATATAGCAAAATACCATTTCTGTTAAAAATATCGCTTTTAATCCGAATAGCGACTAATTAATATTCAAACGTTCAGTCAATACCGCAAATAGAACTGAACTTACCATTACGAATACCACATGGCCAATGCTGTTTACGAAAATAATCGCTGTTATATTCTAAGAATCACGAATACACTCTGTGTGCAAAATGCAGAGTTACCGATTATTAAAGCAATGGTAAATATAATTACCACCGTGCTATAGGTGTTAATAGTAATCATTTAGGAACAGCTTTATTCTACGTAATGTTATTGTGTGCAGCTGGAAGTCTACCGTCCAAGGCGTCCCGCCAAATGTCGTAAGCTTCAGACTTCTAGCATCATCCCTCACGTGAGCTCGTGGTTAGCAACTCTAACGGATGTTTACAAAAGTTATTAAACATGACAAGGGCACACAAATAGTATGAGGTGCAGGTTAAAATCAATATTTGTGCACAACTTACGCCTTTAGTGGACTTGATAATAAATTATTACAAAACTTATGATGTTTAATGAAAATGAGATTGTCTTTAACAGCTGACAATTACTGCACAAGAGTGGAAGTAGCATTTTAGGAGGTGTTGTATGTTTTCGTAATTAATTACAGGCGTGAACACTAAAGTTGAAAGGCAAAGGCTTAGAGTGTATTTCGGTGCAGTGGGCCTACTTATTTTTAAGCGGGTACATGATGTTATACAATAAAATTTAAACATATAAACTTTTCCAATCATATTTCTTAAATTCCCATGCTACATTTTTTTAGCACTTTCTTAGAGTTATATTCCCATTTGAACAAAGCAGGAAATTGATTTGACATAATATGAATTGTTTTATTTAAAATATGTTCAATATCTGTGGTCAAAAGTACTATTATCGTCCCTATAATTAAAACGAAGAATTGGATTTAATTATTATTATGATTATCTGTCGATTTTCCAATCTGGGAATGGAACAACAAATGACAGTAGTACAGATAAACATGGACGGCCTCCTTGATATAAATATGAGAACCGAAAAGTTGGCTTCTTGCTGTCAATTTTCCTGATGAACCTTGGGATCACACCGCTAGATTGCGTTACTATTGATGAGGACACAGAGCACTATCACGTCTGTAATTTCCCTTGTGAGCGTTGTATATTTCCGTATTCCGTCTCTGATCTTCGCTTCCATATTTCCAAATGCGCGGATTGATACATCACCGAGACAAGCTCTTACTTACTTTCTGGTAATAAAATACAAATAACTACGACGGAAAAGTTTTAAATTAAACAATAGTATGTAAAAAAAAAATAATTATATTTTAACAGGGACCAACTTTCATCTTAAAATAGCAACATGTTCTAAAATATATCCTTATTTCTAAAGATAGTGTAATTGCGTCATATTGTGAATATTCTAACAATTATTTATTTTAATCCGTCTTATCACAATATTTAAAATTTCTTATAATTAAGATAATAAAATATCATTGATCATCCTTTACACAACATGTTTCAGTTTTTATAAAAACTGAAACATGTTGTGTAAAGGATGTTCCAAAATGTAAATCGATCAATCGATATGGAACATCAATGATATTTTATTATCTTAATTATAAGAAATTTTAAATATTGTGATAAGACGGATTAAAATAAATAATCCTTATTTCTGCCATTGTTTTCGACTCAGGTGTGATCCTTACACATATCAAACACTCAAAACACTCGAAAACTTGTTATACTCACCGATTTGTTACCAAGCTGTTTCACTTTACAGGGCAAATAAGCGTGTGTGCCAAGTTGTGTTGTTATGTTGGTAGTGGTTGCAGGATCGAAGTAAGGACCCGTGTAGAGACCACTGAACCTCTTCATATGATGGTGCAAAGGTGGGAGTACTGTCACGCCATCTGCACCAAAAGCTGTAAACACACAAGAAGAAAACGCCTGCAATGTTCCGACTCCATAAATCTTAAGTTTTAATCCGTACATTTTTAAGCTCTCCTTTCATTATATCATTACATATTGAGATTTAGGTAGTTGATATTTATTACTGACCTAACTGCGAGATAGAGGAGACAAATTGCTAAGGGGATTTTTATGCATTCAGTCGAGGTTTGCGTAAATATTTACAGAGCAATGCTACTAAAATAAACTAAAGCTAAATAAGAATAATTTTGAAAAGTGCTGCAGTACAGTCAGTAATTCTATTGTATGTGCCAGAAATTTATATTGACAAAAAATAATATATATCAGCCAGCAAGCTCTCCTTTCGATGAAATATTTCGTATACCACGAAGCACTTCAAAAAACCACAGTTTTGCAACTAAGTTGACAAAGACCTGGGGCACTCTGTGTTATCAGTAAATGTTAACTTTGCCGATGTATGTATTTTAACAAGGTAACCTATATAGGAGTATAGGTTACGAAATTCAAATTGTTTCGTTATCCAAGTACGTTTCTTTACTTCTTTTCATCAAAGACAAGGCCCTAGACATTCTCGGTGTAACAGGAAGAACGTTTTGTCACAGGAACGTATGGAAATATAACTGGAAAGAAAGGCCAAGAAACGTAAAACAATATGAAGAGTAGAGTGGCAATAAAGAAGTTACAGATATCAACAAGCCTTGGAAGAGGGAAGAGTGTGCATATATATTCATATTACACTGAAATACTGCTCCTGTGTAATAGACTATTTACACAGTCTTCTTACATACAGCGAAAAATAATATCAGAACATACGGATCGATCCAACACACACACACACACACAGGATATTGACATATTACCATTTATTGAGATACAACCAATGCGTTCGAGGCATAATAAATACATAAATCATGGTAATTTACAAATGCAAAATTTATAAATAAATTCATTTTCGGATCCCTCGCCGTGAGAACCTAAAATGCCATTCATTGCCGTCATTATAAAGGTAGAAAGTAACTCTGAAACGTCGGTAAAATTCTACGAGACAACATGACGCAACATTCCAAGAGGTAGTCATCTTCATATTTCTGCCTTGAGAACCTAAGATCCAACCAATTTTATATTTCTGTATTGGTAAGTCGTAATAATTAGAATGAATTAAGACCCGATATATGGTTTAACAATATAATTCTCGTGGTTTTCCTAAATATTACCAGTAGCTCCTCGCATTCTTAATCTCGGCACGAGATGGAGGTGAGATGTAAGCTTTGCAGGGACTGCCTTACTGATCGTAGAGGCCACGGCGGGGGACTTTGGACAACCATAACGATGCAAGAAGCATTAAGGCATAACAGAATGGTGTAAAAAAGACGAGGAACTGTGTAAAAAAAATACATCCATGTACAATGAGTATGTCGTACCACATGTTAATATATAAATTTCTCTTGCGTGGGAGGAAGAAGGTAATTTTCTTGTTGTGTTCGCTACAGTTAGCTCCGGTTTAAAATCTAGAGGTGAAAGTAATTTCTTTTCAAACGATGAAGCCTGTTCATGTTGGCGAGATTGTAACTGTAAAGCTCCTTTTGACTTTAATAACAAGGACTAATTTGTAGCTCAGTCGTAAGTCTCATTACAGCTCCACACATTTTAAGATGAAAGATCCAAGATACATGTAAGCATGTGTGAGGCTGTACTTGTGTGTGTGTGTGTGTGTGTGAATTCTAGCGATTACGTATGTCGATAATCGTAATACGAATGTATCAGTTGTGCTGAAAACTTTCCACGGATGCCGGATGGATAATGCATTTGGAGAATTGGCATGTCACATTTCATATTGTATTTACGTATTTTATCAATCGATTACGCAGCAAAGGTAACAGTTGTCTGAAGTATAAATTAAATCTTAAATATCTTACTGAAGATAATTTAATATGTGGCGTGTGTCATAAAAGGCACTTACAAAACTCATTCGTTCGTTAGTCGAATTCCTACACATTAACTTAGAGTAGATAATTAGAGCATTTACATATCTTACTCTAGCATATCACACTGACAGAAAGTATAATGGAATTTTAATTTGATCTTTCAACATTATAGAAAAAAACGCAATAAAAATACTGTGTTCTTTCTTTAAAACCTGGAAAATTTAAAAAAAATTATTTCGTTCCTATTTGTCGCTTTAGAGATTTCATACTGAGTAGTTAAACATGCAAACATATACTTTCATTTTTAATTCACTTTGAAGTATCAAAAGATTTCAGTGTCTAAATACAATTCTTTATCGCGTAAACCTAAAGAATGCTAATCTTTCCACTTGTTTCAGTTTCGGAAATTCTGAATAGCGTACGAATAATAAACTAATATCCCAGAGTCTACTACTCAACGTTCCTAAATCTCCACAAGAATACAAATTAACTTTAAATATTCTATTCACCACATAACAAGAGTCAGAATGCAAATAAATTAAGCGACAAATAAATTATATTCTCAGGAGTTCCAAGAACCGGTGTTAGATTATTATAAAATAACACTGGCAGATAAATCACAGTTTGTTTATGAAAGTTTCTTTATATTTCGTAAGTAATTTTCAGACTAGTCAGTATTTGTAAGGCTTTGGTCACCCGAAACTGATGTTTACTATTTAAAACTTAAATTCTTACCTCAAAAAACATGTAACAAGTTTCCACCGGAGAGATAAGGTGGTTAAGGATGTTCAGTGAAATAATCGCTGTTTGTATTGAGAATCATATGACACTCATAAATATATAACGCATGGGAACATTACAAAGTTACTGATTTTTAAAATACAGGGTGTACAAATACGTACTACTGTCCTTAAAATGGTTAGTATTTCGGCTTTAATCTATATGTCGATTTGAAAAACGAATAGATCATCCTACCACGCTTTGATTCTTTTGAGCATCCCATCCCTCGCTTTCACTGATACGTATCTGATTCTACTTTTACGTTACGAGTTTGTTATGTCGAAACAGTACTGATCTGACAGAACTCATTTGTCTCGTTTGGATACAGCCGTTAGTTCAGCGCGGGAAAGCGGAGCCAGCCGACGTTAACTGGAAACTGTCCAGATCATTCTACTTCACTGCCGTTCTACCCAATAGATGTGACGAAAGAATTGTTCCCATCAGAAGAAAAGCCTGAAGATGTTAATGTTCTTAGTTAAAAGATAATCGAATATATCGGATAATACATAGGACTAATTTTAACCAACATCCAACCTCCTTATTCAACGAATACAGATGACTCTTTTACCGTGGGGGAAACGGGTATTCAATAATGCTTAGAACTGTACTCCATACGTCTTCAAAAATCGCCAGAGACAGCCTTACCCTTACGTTACCTAATGTTGTATGGATGGAATAATGTAAAATAAAGCAAAGGACGTAATTCTGATAAATTTCCTTTGAGTCTTCAAACTCCACCCGGGCCAGTGGTGGTACCTCTCAAACACAACACGATAATTTATTCCCCATCCCTACAGATACGGCTCGCCTTCCATCATAAAACAATAAAGCGACATTAACTAATTAATGAGCCTAATATAAGATTGTGAATTATCTGGCTTTCACTGCAAAAACCACGAATTTGCCATTAATTCCCATATAAAAGATTGATTATCCTTCCAAACTTATTAATATCAAGTAGACTATATCTGTATTTGAACGTTGTCTTTTTAGGCCAAGAACCGTGTGATGTAACGTCCAGATACTTAAATTCTTGTGAGTGTAAACATTACAAATCGATAAACCCAGAGATCGATACCGAAACGCTTGTCATAATTCTTGAAACAAAAGTGGATTCTGCGACATGGATTTAATTTACTTTTCTGTAAAAAGAAAGTACCTGAGATTGTGTTATCCTCTGTTAAGCTAGTGTATAGCCTTGCTACGTTATTATAATTTCTGCTCTGAAGACGGAAGCGATATGTTACTCCGAAACGTTAATAACCACCTACAAAACTGCACGATGTCATAAACAGGCAGATACGATTAGAAACTTCAACTGCCATGCATATCTAAAACCTTATACAGAGACAGTTTTAATGCACAACAAATATATTCCCAAGGAATTTAATGAATTCAGTCGAAATATGCAGTGAACTGATGAACTACATGAACAGCAATACGTCTTCAGTTGTCAGTCAGACGGTCAAGACATACTATTGTACATTAATGTGTCCATGACTTCAAAATAATTTACTAGTAAGGTAGTACAAATGCTTCAAGATTTATAACAGAAAGTGGAAATATCGCCTTTTCTGAAACGTGAAGTCAACATTAAAAAACTTTTTATTTTCACGATAAACTGTATTTGTTTGTTTCCAGAACATTGTGTGCCATTAATGAGCCACCATGCACCACAAAAACGAGAATGAGGTCGACGACCTTCAGATTAGCTACGGTACAGTTACAGCCCCAAATGAATTTAAAAAGTTTTAGTACAAAATTAATAACTCCAATGAACCGCGAATTAAAATCAGTGAAATCCGGCGGCTTAACACAACGTAGGCAAAGTTGAATTGCATCAGAATTTCAAACATGTTTCATTAGGTTTTATCAAGTCAATTAGTTTCAAACAGGGAAATGGTAGTGTCTGTTAAAAAATAACTGGCAGTATTAATATATTTTGTCATAACAGTAAGCTACTATTTTTAACACGATTGATAATCTGATATTACTATAGGAGAATTTATCGTATTAATCCATAATTATTTGGTGCCGTAGGGCTGTATTTTATACCACAAAAAATAAATAATTTTGTCGACAGGTTTTTTTTTGACAAGTTAATGAAATGCACGTCACGACTTTCCTACAGCGATCCGTGAAGAATAACTTGATTTTTCAGAGATGAGACACAAGCAGTCATTCGAATCCGAAGACACAAATTTGACCACACTTCACCAGTTCGTTCATTTCCCTTCATGTAACACGATCGAACACTTCTTCATCGTATTTAACGCGTCTCTTATTAC